GCTCACAAACACACAAAATCGGACTGACGCTCCAAAGCACACGGTAATGACCGGACGTTGCATGCAAGCCTCAACAAATGGAGACTAAGCAGCGCAACACATTCAGAGAATGTGAACACACTCAGGTCAACACTGGGGGAGAGAGATGGATGCTGCTGAAAGGTAATGGATAAGAGCATGTTCTCCAAAAAGCATTACGATGTGTTAAGGTCATTATCAGTCCATTATCTATCCATACATAGAAGACTGAAGAGTCAAAATGACAATCAGTTAGCATGGTCAGATTGAAATGTTTGACCCTGACAACCGCTGTTACTTTCACCACTGACCTCCTGACTCCAACCCCGTTAACCGTAACTTAACGTTTAAAAACAAACGGTATTCCATAACTGAATCAAACTCCCCTTCCAATAGAAAAATATATTGGAATATATTCTAAGATATATAGTAACATATTGAACAATATAATTCAATATGTAGAAATCTGATAACTCATTCTAAAATATATGCAAAGTTACATGAACACCAAATATCTGAACATATATAGTATATTCATACACATACAAATGTGTGTGTTCATATATACATACATATATATTTATATATACATGAGAGAGATAGAGAGGTATAGCATTCATATATATATATATATATATATATATATATATATATATATATATATATATATATATATATATATATATATATATATATTTATATATAAAAGAATAAAAAGTCAAATGTAATCATGTATATGAGGTGATTTAGGCCATATAAAGCAAGAACAATATAAAAAATTGCCCTTTTAGTTAATCAATTTTAATAAATGAAAGATATGACAAAATGTATCAGTATGTAAAGTATTGTACTATCACATATCTACATGTAACATATAATTGTATGTAAATTGTAATATATGAAACGCAACACTTATGTACTATTACATATATTGCTATATATTATAAAGATATATAATTAGATATATATGACAATTTATTTCAGTGGTATATTATTTCTTATATGATGGGTCACTTACGTAAATATATAACGGAATATATTCGCCAATATATGAAAAGTTGCAATTCCTTATGTATTGCTACATATATTGCTTTATATTAAACGAGGTTCTTTTTAATATTAAAAAGAGGACATAATGAACATTGTAAAGGATATATTGCTTTTTATTCCACTGGTATATTGTGTAATATATTTCTGACACCTCAGATTTTCCTACATTTTTGCTTTCGTATATTGTTCATCCAATCCAATCCAATCCAATTTTATTTATTAAGCGCATTCAACGTGGCATTACATCAATATATGGTTACAAGGGCTGGGCGATATGGCCTAAAATCCATATCACGATATATTGAGGATTTCACCTCGATAACGATAAATGGACGATAAGTACATGTATGCGCAAAAAAAAAGTTGTCCACTAGATGGGGCTGTCACATGTATTACGTTTAGTCACATTTTTAAGTGATACAGCTTCTTAAAGGGACATGAATGTTGCCAACCTACACATCTTTCATTTTTTTAGTATCAAATTTATTGACATGGGAAAAATTATCTCGATAAGAGTCAGAAATTTCAATAATGATACATTATAATTTATTGCCCAGCCCTAATGGTTACATATATTTTTCTTGCATAAGGGTCTGGTAAACCAGCTTACACTGATTTAATGTACTGTTTTTGCTGTGGCATTGAGTAGGTGGCGAAAAAACTCCTCCAAACTTTGCTCAATTTAATCAAGCTGCCCCAGAACACCAGACTATTCTGTCCCTCTGAGAGTCCATGGTCCAAGCAAAGTTTTTAGATATTACCTTAACAGCCTTCATGTTACTGTTTATTACTTCTGACCCAAGTGATTTTGAGTCAACATTATACAAAGACAAAGCTCACAGCAGCCTCCTCCAGGAACGGCAATGATTACAAACCAAAAAACCTCTGTCTGTGGTTTGTTTATTGCTCGCAGGGGCCCTGTGGTGACCGGGCATTCCTTAATAAGAGCTGGAAATATGCTCATTAGAGATGGAGGGTAATTATGGGCTGCCTTGGATCTCAGGAAGAGCATTAATGCATTTTAAAAACATCTTTATTGTTATTATAAGTTAAGATTTTCATTCATCACACAGTTTGAAAGTAATTTGTTGTACTTGTGGAAAATTAGAGCAAGGTAATTCAATGAAATAACCAGTTTTCACTTGCTGTGGGCCAACCAGTCACAAGTTAGTCTTTACGTTAGCAAGTTTTGAGAAAAGAGAAGGCAACTGGGCTTCCTTACATTCTTGGAAGAAATTTCACATGTCATTTGAGGAGCTTTCCTTGCAAACGGAGAAGTGCAAAGTACCAAACTTCACCATTTTACAAATCACTCCCTTGACGCTCCCTCCAAGGGGGTGTTGGGGTCTTTGTTGTCTACATTTTTGGTACTCCATCAGATCGAGAAGGATCATGACCAGAACACGATTCAAACTTCTAAAAGAACAATGGTGTGCACCAGAGAAAAAACTTCTGGCATCGGTATTTAACTAATTCACTGCCATTGACGACTAAAGTTGTCATTTGCATGTTTTTTTACTGTGTGGGCGTCTGAACGAGCCCCCGCAACATGCAAACAAACATCCCAGCTCTAAAGCCAATCTTCATCCGCGTACGTCACACATCACGTGACCAGGAAGCAGAGAATCCATGTGTTAGGAGATCGTTTTGGGCCGCTGCTGTAAAAAAAAAGGTGAGGCGCGAACCGGAAAAGCTTCTGCCGATCACAATTCCACAACGAACTATGAAAGAACGGATAACGCTCAAAACGTGCGGATTCTTCCTGATGTAAGAGATGAGTCTACTTAAGAAATATCACTCGAGAGGGAGTGCGTTGTTGCTGAATATCAGCACTGGTGTGATTCGGTCGTAGGCACGAGGCCGCAATTCCGTTTATTGTACATTCACTGAAATACGTGTCTGCTGACTGACGCTTTGGTGTCATGGGTGTTTCTGATGAGTTAACTTGATCAGACAGCACATTGCTCCATTGTTTCCGGCTCTCCATAGATGGTCTCCAGTAACTTTTTAGCGAGCCTTCTGACCTGCAGAACAAGTTTTTGTTTAGATATGTATATTTTTTGTTCTGCCACACATTATACATGAATCAAATTGATGTAGCCTATATATTTTGAGTCTGTTTAAAGCATCTCACCTGTGCCCACTCACTGCCATAATCTCCCTTGCTTCGAGTCCCGCATCGGAACGTTTCTGTATGGCCGTGGCTCTCAGGCTGTGGTTGGTGTATGACGTGTGTGTCCCTGCCTCCTTGCAGATTCTGGGTAACATCTGCGACAGCTGATTTACTCCCAGAGGAACAGTGGTATACCAGTAGCTGTCTCCCGGTGATGTAACTCTCCTCGACTGCCGATACAGGGCCTTTGCATCAGGTGGAATTTTCTACCGGTATTTCTCGAGCGACGCAACCGGGCAGAGCGCCATTCCTTGCTCCTCATACACAGCGCCCCTCATGTTTCCTCTGTCTCTCTCCAGCGGGTCTTTATGATTTTTTGTTTCTTCATTGAACGTCATGGTAAAATATTTAGCACTGTTGTCATCATATTTAAGGATGAATGAGTCAGGTTTGAGATGCCGATTCCCCTCTTTCCCCCTGTGCCCAAAGTGCAACTGAATATCATACCAGACCTTGTTTAGTAAGCCTTTCGGGTTGTCTGGACTCAGAGCTACAGAATATTTTAAGATGCGCTGGTCATCAGGTGAGATCGGGAGATGGTGTGTTGTTGTGTCCTTCCCTGCCCTTCTTATCTTTTTGATGACTCCTTTGAAAACATTGTTAGCTGGTATAAACTCTGGGTCCTGCATTAAATTCCATGAGCGGCTCACCGGCGGCTCATTAACATAACGATTCAATCCCGCCCGAAGTCCGAGGTAGCTGCTGATGCTGTAGAGCTCCCCTTTAGCTGTCCGGATTGATCCATAAAACTCCCTTAAAACTGTGTTCAGCTCGGTCTTCTTAACTTGCTGAAAGTTCACCTGGATATTTTTGAGCTGAGCCAAGTCTGAAAGCAGTTCAGAGCCCAGGCTGTCTGCCTCACAATGTTGACCTCATTTTTGCTCTTCTCTAATTCGTCGAGGTCCGCTGTTGACATGTCAGCACACCTGGTTTGTGCTGATGTATTCGGTCCGCTTTCCTTCCCTTCAGTGTCAGAGTCTGATGACCATTCATACTGTAGATCGAATGTTATCTGAGGAAATATGTCCATCTATGCTGTGCGAAGTCGGTCAAAATCCAAGAGTTAACGGAAGTAATGTTAATGATTAATTGAGAACACCTGTGCACAGCGGAGTGATATTATCTGTAAACAGTCCCTGTGCTGTTATAGTCCAATATTAGCACGCTTGGAAAGTCTCTTGACCAATCAAATCACTCGGTCGGAACTAACTGTTGTATAATCTTTGTTTTGGTAGTTTTGGCGTTGACATCATCCTAGCGCAACGTTCTGTGAATTTTAACAAAACAGTAAAAACACTGAAAGACGCCGGCAGTGAATGAGTTAATTGGGTTTTATAGGAGATGACACTTTAGAAAATGTGAGCTTGGCTTCATAGCTGGTCTTCAATGAATTGTAGCACTGGTTGGATTGGGTATTGATCCGCAATGGGCCCCAAGGCTGAATCAGTAAATAACATGACTACATCACTCCTAAATCACTGAATTTAAGAGATGAATCTCAAAGATTACGTGTGTTAATATTAAACTGGTACGCTTATGGAAAAATAGGGACATTTAAAAAAATTGGTTTTGGCCAAAAAGAAGCATCCTTTTGGTTTAAGCCTAGGGCTACTTTGAAACATTCACTTAACAAAATGGCACCCTTGAAAAACAAAAGGAAGGTTTATGATAGATAATAAAAGACCCTGTGATTTGTGCTGTCTCCCAAATTTAGCTGAGATAGTCCCATACCTGCTGTCTAACGGTGCCTGCTGCTTACCCAGAGCCACTCTGGCTGCCGACGCATCGTAGTTAATCCAAAAGGAGACCCAGGAGAGTATGGTAATCAGGATCGATGGCATGTACGTTTGCAAGATGAAGTAGCCGATGTTCCTCTTCAGCTTAAAGCTCAGAGACAGTCGAGGGTAGGCACCTAAAATGAGGAAACGGAAAGAAATACAGCATCTAAAAATCTGGAAATGAAAAGTAATAAACCTCCTGAAAGGTTTTGGAACTCATTCAGCAAACAACTTAAAAATGAGACATTCAACGTTTTAAACTTTGGTTTTCGTTTTAGAGGAGCAAACAAGGACATCTTGTGTTTTTGTTACAGTTTCCATGGCAACCCCCAACAGCATGGGCTGGATTTGTCACCATGGTAACAAGTATCCTCTTCAAAAGCACCAACACGCACACACATACACACACACACACAAGTAGAGCACACGAACATTTAAATTGCATCCCTATTTCGTGAGGACTTGTCAGAAATAAAATTCAGGATGTCAATTGAAAACTGCATCATGTTTTGACTTCCCAATCATCCCAGCAGGAACACAATTTTAGGTACAATCGCCTACGATGCTCCACATATCAGACCATATTGTTTAGTGCAAAAAGAACAACTTCCCCTTCTATAAACTAGAGAATAGACTTTCTGTATGTGATTTTTCTTTAATGTCTCTAGACGGACCGAGTCTCTGACTCGTTACTCTCACTATTTTTAGCCATTTTTCCATTCTGATCTTAGACGGAAGGAGACGTGGGACACCATTATGGTGTAATTTCTTCTCCGTGGGTTTCAGCCAAAGTCCAACCAACTGCACACTTGTGTGTATGGCCAGATTCAGAAAAACAGTCCCTTGGATAAAGATCTCATTAAGATTTTTGTGCGTGGAAATAAATGCAATAAAAATGATTTGATGATTCTTGTAAAGGGAGACCATTCATCAAACATAATCAACTGTAATGACTGCTGAACAAGATGACATTTAAGGGACGATCTGTTTGTACACCGGTGGAGAAAACTGAAATTACCCATTAATTAGTGCAAACGCAAATGTCCAACCTACATGAACTTTGACCTCTACAATACAGTTGACACCTCCTGGCATTAAAATAAAAGCTGATTACCACTGAAGCAGAGTGCCTGTCCTTGTAGTGTTGGTTCAATGGTTTCACCACCAATTGGGAACAGATTAAAACCTATCTTCCTGGAAACCCCTTTGTGTTTTTGTTTTTCTTTTTAATTACCTGTTGGCAATAGTCTAAAGGAGGGTGATAATGTTTTTGCCAGTGTCAGAGAGTCACTCATAAAATATACTCTGTGTTATGCCGTGGACTGTTTCCAACATGTGTTTCTCAATTACCCCTGAATTGACGTAAATGCAGCTCTTGGAAAACGTGTTTTCGTTAGAAGTACAACCACGACTGATTACATTCTGAAGTCAGCTTCTTTCAAGAAAGCTACTACGGTGAACTAACCATACCAACTGCCTTGGCTAACTAACCAAACCAAACTTGGCCAGATTCAAATTATGCTAATACTTTAAATGCACCAAAAACACAAGTAAATGACAGAAAACGACCTAAAACCCCTCAAATTCACAATTTTTCAACCATATTATTTTACCTTAAAGCTCATTAAAAGGTAATAAGGAGCCTAAGTCTTCTTTCTTTCCGGTCGGCTCATGGGTCCCCGGAACAACGAAAAAATAAATGCAAGTCAACGAGGCTAAGAGCTATATTTTAATCCGCTTTGCCTTAGGCCTGCTGCTCAATTTAAATGAAAAGTAATGATGTGTCTTTCAATTACATCAGTCACATACTTTGAGATGTATCAGCTTGTAAAAGTTCGTAATTAGCATGACTACAAATCAGATGTTTGTACGTCGCATATACGTTTGTACGTCACCACAGAACTTCCTCTCCTCTAGCATAGCTGCTACCTACCAAATAGCAAGTTTTGTTGTGGTTCTTTCCTCTTGAAGGAAGGATTTGAAGTTTGCTGAACTTAGTGTCTGGTTTAGTGACGTCACTTTGGTGATGCACATTTGAAGTCTTAGATGTATTTTCATAACATTTCCCCTTGTTCAAAAATAAGTGCGTTCTTGGCATTAAAATGCGTATTTAAAATTAAAGGAACGCTGGTATTTCAAACTGCAAGAGCTAATCTGTAAACAAGCTAGCTTAAAACACTGTCACAGAACTATGGGTTAAAATCCCCAGGCCACGTCCCCTGGATTGGATACTGGAACCCACATTGCCACAGGAAACAAGAGAGCACTTAACACCAGTTGCCATTTTCTTCATTGTCCATGTCTTCAAATGATGTTTTTCTTTTTGGGACTCTGGTAGATTTTCCTAACGTTGAAGTGGTAACAGCCAGCTATTTACGTCTCAATCTCTGACATTACTGAGCTGAGAAACTCTCACACCAGTGATGTTCTGTTGCTAAATACACAAGTGTAGCCCACCTAGTCTGTCTGACGGTAACTTGGCTTACCTTTGTATGAACTTAAATTAAATTCAGACGCATCTCCACCTTTACGAGAACACAAACTGCAAGTTGCACCTCTTGTGTTAGAAGTAATAAAAAACAACCAAAGAGAAAAAAAAAAGAAAAAAAAATCCAGAGTCCTAATGTTCTTTGCTCAAATACTTAGGTGGTAGTACCACTTTGTTGGCGCACTTGGTGGAGCTCATTTGTGGTGGTTCAAGTCTTGTTGTGTGTTTTGCTTTACTCACTGTGTCCTTGGGAGATCTCACATTTAATATATGGTTAATACAACCCCTCTTGTCGAGCTTGGTGGGATTTCTGACAACCTACAGGTAACAAAATTGTAGTCGGACCTCAGGCTTTGCTGGAACAAGTTCTGGAGCACTTCTGTTGCCACAGTTTGAGGGGCATCTCTCTAAAGCACAGTATTTGAATTTTACACAAATTCCAAATTAACTTTCAAACAGAGTTTACAAAATCCATTAAACTCGAACAAAACACTGAACAACTTATTTTTTTCTCATATATGCTTAACGGCATTTTACATCAAAACTTAGAACACTAAACAAGTTATTAACAAATTAACTCGCACCAAGAATGATCTATGCTGAGTCGTCTTTTCTCCTCCGTGTTTATTTTCCCTCGTTATTTTTTTTCTTCCTTTTTACAGAAACACATGTTCCTCGTCCCTCCCCTTCAACCCCTATAGGTTGCATTACGGAGCCCGGCCCTTTCCTCATTGGCCCACAATATTAAAATGACACATGCTCATCCAATTACCAACACTTTGGTAGTGAGTAGTTCAAGAGACATTCAAAGTATGGGAAATAACAGCTATAACTGACACAGGCCACTACACAAGTGTGGACCAAGGGAAGTGCGGTGGTTCGGCGAAATCGACAAACGAATGGTCCGATCGTTGGTCTCAGACCAAGCCGTGCTATTGGCTTTTTATCATTTTATTTAATGTCCACAATATATAGCTATAGCTACTATGTTAGAATGTTGCTAAGAGACATGAAAAAAAGGATTTAAGCTAGCCTATTTAGCAGATTTACTATTGTAGCTTTAAATCTGACATACTTTATAACCCATTGGCTAAATAAAGAGCTAATGTTTTGCACTTAGCTATACCCCAAACATGTTGTCTACCTTTAATAATAAAACGTCTGTCTGTGTTTCCTTCAGTACATGTTCAGAGATCTTAAAGACCAACATTTCAAACAAACATCTACTTCCTGTCAAGTAAAGCCACTCAAACAGCACTTCATTTATCTCTTTCAAAGTTCCTATTTTTGGCTCTTGGTTAACAGTTCTGGTGACTTTTCACAAACTCGACACATAATTAACATATTTATCAGTGTGAAAATAGAAACAGTCTGTCGGAGGTCTTTATAAAAAGGCTCATTCACTTTCTTTGTTGCAGCTCCTCCAGACTGATTCAGAATCATCTTCAGTGGAAAAAATGCCGGAGAGAGACTTAGGAAAAGCGGAGGCTGAGGTACACCAGTGTGTAGGTGTCCAACTGCACCGGCTACACCAAACAACATCCGCGAGTGGGAGGAAAGCCATGTGTGAGGCTGAGAAGGAGAGGGAGAGGGAGGATGAGGTAGGAGAAGAAAATAAAAAAGGACAAATAAGTGGAGCTGGAGGTGATGGAACAACATGGAGTCCATGAGGATGGCTGGGTAGATAGGTGAGCTGGGAGTTAGGGCTCTTGTGTTGTTCTGATGGTAGAAGTTACCAGAAACACAATAGGCTGAGTCTTATCCACAGAACCTTAACAGTTTAACTGTTCAAAAACAAAAAAAATTCAAAATGAAAGTGTGTTGGCTAAATTGCAGCATGACCAACTTATTGGGGTGATGGTGGCAGAGGGGGTAAGTGGCCCCCCGTAGTCAGAAGGTTGCAGGCTCGTCCATAGGGGGCACTGCCCCACAAGTCTCACAGGAGGAGGAAGAAGAAAAGAATAACAAAATATTAAAAAATCCAAATATTTAAACAAAACGATCTATACATCACTATAAATGCTGTGTATAATCTGCATTTATGTGTAGTTTAAAATTGTTCACTGACACTTATACCACAATTGAAATGTCTTGTGGCGTATTTCCTGTTCCTTTAGGTCACAGCAATCTTTACCATAGGCCTACCGGAAAATGATGGGAGATTTGTAAACAGCAGGTAAAAAAAATGAAGCCCAAAATAATCAGGAATCAGCTCAGTGGGACGTTGGGACATTTAGAAGATTATTGTTGGCATTGGGTGTTGTTGAGTTAGAAACGTGGATTCTATCATTTAGACAAGCCTCTTCCCGTTAAAGGGACTTTACGGGCTTTTGAATTTTTATGTTCGCGATTGCCCCCTCAGGCCAAAAGCATAACGGCAGCTTCAATAGTAGGCTCGTGCACGAGGCGTGCATGTTGTACGTGTACATTCCTTAACGAAAATAACAGCTGAGACAGTCCCGTGTGTGTGAGTGTGTGTGTGTGTGTGTGTGTGTGGCCCGGAGGACAGAAGACAGGAGAATGTGCAGCTAATTAATTAAATTATTTGGTTCTGTACCTTTCTCTTCAGCACAGCTAACAAAGGTTTATGATGGGTCAGTTCTCCTGCATGCTAAGATCGTTCCCTTCCCTTGCTTGAAAAATTGT